ATACTGCATGTTTACTCACAATATATCAGATCTATCTTCAATTTTTTAACTTTATTAAGCTTAGTACCAAATAAAATTATTAGTATAGCACAGATTTATTATTTACAAAAATATCTATAACACTTACTACTAAATTTTTACTTTATCTTAATCAACAAATTTATCACAAAATTTAGATTTTTTACTATATTTTAAAATCTACAATTTATCACCTTACTTCTAATTTACCTTCTAATTCTGCTTCACAACTAGTGCAATTTCTTTCTTTTAATACTATTAGCTCTAAGATTTTTTTTTTTTTTTTTTTTTTTATTTTTATAATATCAAGTAGAAAAAATGTTAATACATAAATATATCAATTGGATATAATTGTATAAGTAAGAATTATTCCTAAGCTACACTATTGTTGCTATATAATGACATCTAGTGTGATATTATCCTTTAGTTATCTGTTATTAGTTAAATCAACTATTGTAATCATTAACTACAGAAAGGGTAAAAGGAACCCTTAGGGTTGTTGAAGTTAATAGAAGCAATTATATATAGAAAAGTTTTGAGAAAGAGTTTTAGAAATAAAGAGATCTATGTTATTATTAAATGTGAAACTATTGTTAATAGAATTGGAAGGTTGTAGGGTAGGTAATCGGATGATCTGTATAAGTTTAAATTTTATAGAAAGTAATTTAAAGATTAAAGAATTTATAATATTAAAAAAAGTATGCTATAAAGTTCATATACTAAATTTGAATAACTTGTATAAATTTGATAATTAGTTAGTTAGTATATAAAATTTTAAAAAACTAATTATAAATTTATATAAATATTAATAAATAAGTTATAAGTTATAATAAATATTGCAAATAAAATAAAAAATAGTTTAGCTTTATAAAATAATTATAAATGAATTAAAGCTGAAAATTTATAAATAATTTAATTATATTCATAAATTTGAACTCATCTAATATATATAAAATATTGTTCTAATCCAGTATTAATAATAAAATTATTAGTATAAAATATAAAGTTATTATTTGTAAAATTAGATATATATATTTCTTAAAGTTTATAAATATGTTTATTTGGTTAAATGATTTTAAAAATCTTGAAATTGTATATAATAATTATTAAAAGTATAAAAAATATATATAAAAAGTGTTTAATAATTATTAAATATATAAGATCAATATAATTAGTAAATAATTTAAGCTTATTAGAGGTTTTTTCTAATAAAAAATATTGTAAAAATAATTACTAATATATTAATAATACATATTTAATTAATTGGATTTAAATTAAGATAGTATCTAGTACATAGTTTGCATTTAATAGATAAGAGTAAATAATATTAATTATAATTTAAATTAATATTGAATTTTTAATATATATTTATAAATTTTGACAATGATAATTTTTTTATTATTGAAATAATAAATAAGAAGTTAAAGTTTTTGTTTTTTGGCAATAATATACTGTATATAAAAAATTAGTACTAGGTAATTAAAAAATAATTGTCTAAGTTGCTTTTTGAAAGTTAAGTATTTAGAATGCTATAATAGAATTACTTTTATTAACTGGCTGCTATTACTAATTATATAAAACTATATCAGATTGAAGTTAGCTAAAATTGTCATGCCAAGATGAATATAAAAGTTATACAATTTTAAAGTTTAATGAGTATTTATTAGAATCATTAATAGTTAGTTTAGAATAATATAAAATTTAAATAAGAGGCTATAAGTTGTTTTTTAATTATTAAAGTCTAATTTAAGTTGTAATACTGAAAAAATCAAAATTGTTAATTCATTAGAGATAATTAGAGATGTGGTATTAAAGTTGAATATTTCAAATATTATAAATACTATATTAGTATGAGTTAAGCATTATACTATTTTATATTAATCTGAAAAATGAGACTTGTATTTTACTATAATAAGATATTTAAATAGAATTTAATTGCATAAAGTATAAAAAAGAATTATATTATATAATTTATATTCTAAAGTTAGAAAATAACTGTATTAATAATAAAAGCAATTTTTTGTCAATGATTTTTTTTGTGTCAATAATGTTAATAAAATTAAAAGCCTCTTTTTTTATCAGTTTAATAGCTTAAAATTGTTTATTATTAAGTATAAACAAACATTCAAGAAACTTAAAAAGTTGGTTTTTAAAAATAAAGTAAATTAAAGATTTAAAAAACTATATTAAAGTGGTAAAAAAGTTTGTAGCTAAAATAGACTTGATAAGATTAATTTGAATATTAGCTATTTGGTAAAAGAATGTAGTAGTTTTAGTAATTAGATTGAGTTCTTCTTTAGACTATGCAATCTAAAAAATATTATCTATATGGACTAAAACTAATACAAATGTTTTTAGGTTTTGGGTTTGAAATAAATGTAGATTGGTCTTTTAAGATGCAAACAAAGTGTATCCTGAAAATTGTGAAGCACTTTTATAAATTATAGAATTATAGTAGATTTTTTAGAATAAAGAAGTTACAGTTTCTTCTTAATCTATATTATTTTTAACTAAATAAAAATTGATATGATTAAGATTAAATATAACATAATATTGATGATTAGTAAGAAGATTAGTAAGTATATTAATAAAAGATTGAAGCATTAATATTTATTTAAGAAACTTTGTAAAAAGCTCTATATTAACAGAATCATATATTTTGTTTATATTTTAAGACAAAAGACATAATTGTTTGTTGTTGCAACTAGTATTTTTAATAATATTATTAAGTATATATACAGTATAAGAATAGAGATGTTATTGCCAGATAGACAATATAGTTATATGAAGATAGAATAAAATATTGTGAAAGTATTAAATTAAGATAATTGGTAAAAAATTTAATATATAGTTTTTTAATATATTTAACTAGACTAATAGGTCTTGTATTAAATAGATTGTTATTAAAAATAGGTTTTTGAAATATTAAGAAGATGTAATCTTTTTTCTATTGTTTAGATATGCAAAAAGTTTAAATATATTAATTAAAAAGTACAGTTATTGCTTAGAAAAAGATGTAACTAGTCTGTTTAAGCATTTTATAGCTAATTTCAAATAGGTTATATATTTTATTGTTAAAAAGTTAATTAAGAGTTATAGAGATTTTATTTAATGAAAATTTAACCAAGACCAAAATATAGTAGTATAGTCTGATTGTAATATTTTGTTTATATTTTTTAGATTAGTTAGTATTGAATTCATGAATGTTAATAGGTCTATAAGCAGTTCAGTTGTCAAAATATTATTAAATATGTTTTTTATTAATTTAGAATCTGTAATAATGTTATTTGATGTTTTAATATTGATTATTGATTTTGAATTAGTTTGAAGTTCAGCATATCTAAGATTGATATGCTAATTTACTTGTTTTCAAATTTGTTTAATGTTTTTTATATTTTGAATATGATAAAGAGCTTGTTATTCAGTATTAGTATTAGTAATTTAGCTTAGTATAAACTCATAGAAGTTGGATATAAAAAGTATGTTAAGATAATAGGTTAAGTTAAAATAATAAATAGTAAGATTAAAGTATATTAGTATAGGTAATAAGTTAGTTAAAGAAACTTTAATTAGTCTAATAATATTATTAAGTTTTTTAAGATTTAGATAAAGTAGAGTAGCTTTAACTAAAAATGATTGTGAAGTTGTGAATTGTTGTTTTTCTGTTAAATGTAACTACATTAATAATACTAGTTTAAATTTTATATCAGATTGTTTCAAGAGATTCAGAGATTTAAATAAAAAAAGAAGTTTTATTTGTAGTTAGATTAAAAAAAACCTAGTCAGCAAAATTTTCTTATTGCTCTTTATTCATTGTTTTATAATTAAAAATTCTTTATTAAATTTTGATTGAATGTCTGTTTTTGTCTGTAAAGATATGAGAAAATGTTTAAAAGAATATAAGAATTTTGTAATTATACTGTATAAAAAGAACATTACAAAATAGCAACTAACTGAGAAAACCAAATAAAATTAACTTCACAGATAATAAAAAGGATAAAAATATATTAAAAAGAAAATTACCAACAGACTGAAATATAAGAAGAAAAAAGATGTTAGTATAGATAAACAGAAATAAACTGCAAAAGAGAAAAAAAATAAAAATAGAATTTAAGAATTATTAGTTATTGGTTTTATAAAAAAAAATATTATTATTTTTAATAACCCTAATGACTAGTTTGGTATAACTCTTTGGTCATATTAAATTTCTAACTGATGCATCAGACCACTCTTGAGTGCTCATAGAAGTAGCTAAAAGATGTCAAGTCAAAATTTAAGCCAACATGTACAAATATGTATACAAGAATCTTAATAAAGGCTACCTAAGTTATATATATAAAAAAATAGATTCAATTTCTACTTATTATTTGACATTTAATATTATATAGCAATCCAGAAGAAAATTATTTCAGACTGATCGTAGAAGAATTATATTAGTTGGATTTAACAATACTGTACATAATAATAATATGCAGAGTGCATAATAGCAAAATTTCGAAATTTGGTTTATAATTCTATTGTTAAAAACTCTAATTCAGAACACACAATAACAAATATATGATCTTCATTTTTTGAGGAGTTTTATTTTTCTTTATTTTTTGTTTTTTTGCTACTTTTTTTTTTTTTTTACCAGACCTACATAATTATATACTAATTGTTTTTTGATGTTATTCTAGCTTCTTAGAATTCTACTGTTTTTAATATCACTCTATATTCTTGATGTTCTGTTTTTTTTTTGATGTCGTTCTAGTTTTTTGGTATTAGAAATAATAGTATTGTAGTAGTTGTATATAATTATATAATATTTTTTAATAAAAAAATATAAACTTATATTTTATTTATTATACTGCATAGTCTCATTTGTGAAAAATTTTGCGGACTTGTATAATTTAGAGATTTCTAACTATAAACTATATTTTTAACTATCGACCAAAAATCAGATGAAATATCAGTCGATGAATTGCATGTATTTAACCAGTGAATCATAAAGGATGTTCAGAGGATCCGACCTCTAATATCGGCGTTTTCTTAATGCATTTATAATAAATGACAAATATTGATGTAAGTAAAGCCAGACCACCACCTACACCAACACCAATACCAATTCCGATTTTCAGTGCTTTATCATTTGAATTATATTGGTTTGTTTGATTTGGCGTTACTTCTTGACTTAAAGATGTAACCCATTTGTAGTTTTGAGTATCAAAAATATAAATCTTACTAAAAAAATTTTTCCTATTTCGGCCTGATAAAAGAGATCGGTTAAATATATAAAAATGAATGAATAAAATTATATAACTTTGTAATTACCAAATGCAACTATCATGAAATTTTCATAAACCGCAGCAGAGTGATACGTGAGAGATGGAGTACCAGTCACATTTAAAGACAACCATACCCATGTCGTTGTATTTAATATTGCAATACGAGGATTCACTATGCCAAACGTTTTCTTATTATCCTTTGAACCACCAAATACAATAACATTTCCATCTTGAGCTGATAGAAAGGAGTAGAAAGGAATAAATATATAAATGATTAAAAGTAAATAAAAACAAACGAATAAATGAATAATAAACCTAAAACAGCTGAATGCCCGACTCGGGGTTGAATAGGTGCACCATTAACAGTCTATTAAAAATAGAATTGATTATTCCAAAATTATACATATTTTATACATACTGATACTTCATACATACTATATTTTGCCAAATTGAGAATGTTAGGTCAAATGATTGAATCTAGATTAATTTAAATAGAATTAACGTTAAAATATTGCTAAATTCATCAATGTTAAAAAATTAAAATTTCGAAAGTACAAATTTAAGCTATACATTGTTCATTTCGACCATAGTTTGAGTATTACCATTAACTTTTCTCCCACCAATATATATAATAACACTATAAAATGGTATAAATACAGCTGCGTAATCTAGAAAAGGAAAGCCAACATGATTTAGGTCTATACTCCATTTCATACTACTATAATCTAATTTATTCATGTCATTATAATAAGTAATATTTGAACTATTATTATTAGCTCCTCCAAAAATATAAATAGTTGTAGCACCACTAGGACTAATAGCTTGCATTTCATTACGCGACTTGAAGGAATTATTAAGTCCAACAACATTTAACGGTGTCCATTGTGAGGTATTAGGATTAAATTGATATCCAATTGTAGGAAAATTAGATTTATTTGTATTAGGAGTAAACATTCTTCCACCTAATAAATAAACAAATTTGCTAATATCACCGTAACATGCACTACCCCAATAATTGGCTACTGGCATTTTATCAGACTGAGACCACTGTGGATCACTTCTATTGAATGAACTCGACAAATTCAAGTACCATACATCATGAAAGTAAGTAGTGTCATTAGTTCCACCAAAAAAATAAAATACATTATTGACAAGCACGCTAGCCTGACCATAACGGGGTTGAGGTCGACAATTTCCATAAGAATATATAAGACTAAATATAAAAAAAGTATTCCAAAAAAAATTCATTGAAAAAAGGAGAATCATTACGTCGTAAAAAATGAATCTTTTTTTGCAACCCAGAGCGACTACAAATATTCAAATATTTAAGACCCTACACAGAAAAAGGAGTAGTCAAAAAAAAAATTTTTCGATTTTGGAATTTTGTAAGTTCCGAACGTTTAAGTGTAACCAAAATAAAAAGATCAGTTTTGTTAAGACAAAACCTTTATGTTACAATTTTTAGTGTTAAATATATCGGACTTTTGAAAATTGATAAATATTACGCTATTTAATCGTTGTACGATCGGGTTTAAGCGCACAACTCTAATAAATCATATGCAAATAAGTTCTTGTGCTGTGCTGTTGTAATCTGCTGCTTTAAATTACTACATGATACATATCCAAATTTATATATCATGGTCAAAGTGCTTTTTCTCCATAAAGTAATTACCAGCAATAAAATTAGAAAAAAATTTAACGATTTTCTAAATCAGGTATGTACGTGTAGCACCTTCGCAGAGCATATGTAGTACTTTCTTATATATAAGGGTAATTTTTACGGTTGGATTCACACATGAATCTATATATTGATTATGAACTGTTTACAATTGAGTTTTTAAAATTCTTGTAGTAAAAGCGATCATTTATTATTATATTATACTGAGCAAACTATTGCCATTTTATCTATAATAAGAAACTTTTAGATCAAATGCAACATCAAGAATACAATTCTAAGAATGAATCAACTATTTGTCTCAAGATATTAATATGTTTATAATTCTCTAACGTCGTTAGAAAGGTTATTGGGTAATATGAATTGAATAAATATGATGAATTAGAATTAGTAATTCTAAAAAAAATTGAACTTCAACGTCAATAAATGTTAGAGTTATTACAAATGCGCCTATTGGAAGTTAATTCATTACAGGATTTTTCAACATTGATATCAGCAAAAATTTTTTTATAGGCGAAGTTAAGGTCAGTGCGCAAAATTTTAGGGTGATGTAATCTTTTATTTTTAGCAATGTTTTAACCATAACTTGGGAAACCATAGCTGGAGCTGGATATAGAAATTTTTCATAATTAAATATTATTAGGAAATTACTACATATTGCCACCCGCTTAATCTGATTGGCCTCCAACATTCCTAACCCTAATTATTGGTTATCATTATGGTTAAGCTATGTAATGGATGGCATACACTATCATTAAAATATTTAAATTATATCATACTTATTATATTATTATAAAGAATGGGTATCTCCTGCCTGATAAAAAATCAGACCGAAAACTGGCTTAATTAAATGGAATTCCCAGCATTTATAATAAGTTTTGTACTCTTGTAGGTTGTTTGTTTCTTTAATTAGTAGCAATGTGACTAAAAATTAAAATGTCATATGCTGTGATCTAGTAAAAAACATTTGATTCTTAATAATTATTAAACGCTATCTTAAATTAAATTTACATCTGTATCAATAGTTTATTCAAAGATAAGCTAACACTTATTTAATAATTTTTTTATATTAGGGAATTCTGAATTAAGGACTTGGTCTCCGATTTAAGATAAACTAAGTGACATATTTACTTTAAAATACGCGATCCATAAATCTTGTTTTTTTTAACGTATAAACTTATTTACATAATCGTTTATCGGTAAATATTCATAAAAAAAAAGCCAGTTATATTAATGTTTGCACCTATTTAATTCCTATGTCGGGATTTTAAAATAGAAATGGGATCTTTTAAACTCCCACTTATTTTCGAAATAAGTTAATTCTGAATCACCCTATTAGGGTAATTTAACTTATTCCAAAAAATAAGTGATTTAAAATCTACTTCTACTTAAATTTCAAAAATCAGAAAATGGAATCGAACCTTTTTTTAAAAAAAATTTATGTAACATTGTTTCGAAACAAATATATTACTAATCTTGTTTGAATTCAGACCCTGGTTGATAAAAGCAGATTCTCTTATAAATTTTCGTGCAAACTAAAAATAAAAAATGTTGGACAAATATTCAACCAATAATTTATTAATGCTGAGCATGTTAACATTCTTACGATCTGTACGATCTGTAGAATAAATACAGTATACAAAATTGCTTCTATGTATTGATTATGCCGAAATCACAAGTTTAATCAAATTAGTCGAAAAAACCATTCGACTAATTTTTATCAGGTGTAAACTACAGTTGTTAGACGAAATCTAGAGGTTTCGCCACTGGCGAAAGACGAAATCTAGTTTCGACTTTGGCCAAAAAAAAAAAATCAAAAAGACGAAATGTCGAAACTGGCGAAACTAGTGAAAACAAAATTGACCCGGCAGATTCTCGATTTATTGGCTAAGAGCGACGATAAAAAAATTTGGCTGAAATTGCTCAAAATTTTACTAATGAAATCACAGCCGCTCATTAAATTAAATTGTTCCTGGGCTAATTTTACCATTTTGTGGGTTTATTTCTTTGAAAATTTCTATTTTGAGAACAAAAAAATCAAAACCTTAATTCCGCCTGAAATTAGTAAACAGTTATGTAATGTGAATTCCGCCTGAAATTAGTAAACAGTTATGTAATGTGGGCCGAAATTTTGCAGATCCACGTCCATTAGCCAATCAAAATCTATGGGGCTAGCAATGCAAGTCTAAAAAATTTAGCTCATTATGTGATTCTGTTAAAAAAAATTTCACTAAGAAAAAAACATTTTGCAATTAATTTAGGGTTAGGATCCTACCAGTAATTTAGTATTTGGTTTAAAGGGCTATAATTATAGTAAAATTTCCCGAAGAAAAGCTATAAGCGTTTTTTTTTGGTTTGATTTTTTTTGCACTTCTTTTACGTTACACCTGATCTCAAAATCTGATTGGCTATCGAGAATCAAGGACAACTTTATTGCTGCAGCTATAATTAAAGAATTTTTGTTGCACCACAAACCTGGCACACATTCAAGAATTAATTCGATACTATAGCATTAGGGCATTATGGCATTACAGCAATATGGCAATACGGCAATATAGCATTACGGCAGATAAGATTTATGGCATTTAGGTACTGTGCCGTAATTAATTCTTCTATCGGTAAAATGCTGCAATACCGTAATTCAATAATTCTACCACTAACTATAACTCTAATTCTAAGTTACATTACAACACACATATAATCAGTGTTGTCATGTCTAAGACTTTTTTAGACCATGCCCAAAGTTCAAACGTTCACATGTCAAGAATGTCCACAGCATATACAAGCTCCAAAAATTAATATATTAATTTAAAAAATATATAATTATACATTTTTTATAGTGCTGAATATTTTTATTTAGAAAGTTAAAATAGATTAACTTAATAAAATTTTGAGTAATTTTAATTTATTTATTTGTCCAAAAAATGTTACAAATATACAAACCATGTCCACAATGTTCTGTACCAATATTGTATATAATTATGTTAAAAATATTTGTCATATGTATAATGTTTGTTATCATTAATCAAATTTTACCATCATAGATAAATAACTGAGATTTAAAAAACTAACTAAAGTGCATTAGAAAATGATTGCTAATAGTAATAATGTTAATGAACTACTTACACATATATGGAACTTAATGTTTTTAATGAAATGTTAAAGAGAAAAAACAACAATTTAATAATAAATTTAAATTAAAACTTTTATGTTTATTACATGAATAATATTAATACATAGATAAATGATTCTAAAAGAAAACATTTAAGCTTTGAATTTCAAGGTTGAGTATATTTAATTATAAATTCTAAAACCCGTATTCTACTTTCCTTTAATAGTAATTGAATACAAACAAATGGCTATCGTTTTGTTTATTACTTTGTACATTTTTCATGCGAGCCACGCGCAAATTATTTTCATCAAATGTTTGAATTCTAATTTTCTTTTAATAGTATTTGAATACAAACAAAAAGCTATTGCTTTGTTTATACATTTTGATCTTCTGAATTTTGAGGTTTTGCCTTTCGCCAGGGGTTTCGCCAAGCTTCGTCAGTTTCACCAGGTTTCGCCAGTTTCGCTGGGGAGTTTCGTTTCGCCAGGTTTAGGTTTCGTCTTTTGCCATTTGCCCATAATGGTTTTGCCTAACAACACTAAGTGTAAACTAAAATCAAGCAGCCATAGCAGTCAATTACAAACCGTTAATTAATGAAGGATCTAGATCCGTACAAAGATGTTACATTGAACATTAAATACAGTATATTGAATTTATAATCATGATCATAACGACATCATTATTATCATGCTATATTATCATGCTATCAATATCAGTGAAGATGTTTTAAAACATGTAAAACAAATTTTAAAGCAATATAGATTATTTGCCATCCTTAACAGTAAGGCCTAGAACTGGGATTCTTTAATATCCATTGTGATTATTCACTGAATATTCACGGGTTTTAGTCATTCACAAATAATATTGGATGAGAATACCCGGATTTTATATAGGAGGTCGAATGATACAATCGGGTACAAAGCGGGTTTTGATTTACACTGATCATTAACTGATTACTGTCCGATTAATGTTGTTTTTTATTTCATAAATCGATATATTTCGGATGGCTAACAATCAGACACCATCATTCAACTGCGTATGAATATCATGGATATTCATTGATTATAATATTATGTAAATTTAGCTATGTTCTTTGTAATTGAATATTTTTATTCATGAATATCCACGGTTCCCGCATCTAAAGCCGATTAACTTAATTTCGTAAATAATACAAGCACAAAAAGAAATTGTGCATGAAAATAAACTTAGTACGTATGTACGTAAAGACAGAATTTCTAAAAAATTTATCAAATTTGGTTCAATTGACTCATCCATATTAATATCTTTTTATAAGGAATAAAATATACGTTACTGACATTTTAAGTGCTCCAAAGTCCGTTAAGCATTGTTTTTCAAGTGTTTTTGTTTCCTTTACTTTTTTCTTTCGTACGTGATAATCAAAATTGGACTCGCTAATTTCTGTTTCCTTTTTAGAAATTTGTATTACTCGCGAAAACAAATGCATGCTAGTTAAAGATGCCTGACGAAACCCATTTGCCAAGCAATTTCTGAATGTCGATTTGACGAATGACGAAACCAATGACAAAATCCGTGATGATTGATGAAGCATAAGAAATCATTCCTTTTTTTTCATAATGGAAATAAAATGATCTATTAGATGTTAATATTTCTCTTGCATTATTATATCTACCCATTTATATTTTTATTTGATATTTTTTCTTTTTTTATGAAACATATCCGACATTACCCGTGGTGTCGGTCACTCGAATATATCCGATGGATCTTCCAAACATAAACTACTGATACAAAAAGAATACTATACTTTTAACACTAAATATTATCATTTATAGGCAATTTTTTTTTCATAACAATAGTAGTTTCGTCAATCGTTTCGTCAACCGTCAACGGTTTCGTCATGATCGTCATTTGACGAAACCTCTCGTCAGGCATCTTTAATGCCAGTAAAACTGATATTAAAAATATAATTCTTAAAACAATATTGAAATTTATATAAAAGATGACAACTTTCATTATTAGCTTACAAGTAATTTGCTTGTAAAAAAATAGACTTGTATTAGAAGTAAAAAATTTTACATAGTCAAAAACATATAAAATTTTAAAAAATTTTCTTATCAAAATTAATAAAACAGATCATAAAATATATTTTTCATTTAGGAATTACGTATACTGCTAAAATTAATATTTAAAAAAATTTCAGGGCAAATTTGCAGTATAAACGAGATAGTACTACAAAATATACTAAAAAATTTAAATAACTATATCATAATACGTACTAAAATTTAAGTTACTGCAAATTGAAAATTTTTGCCAAATAAAATTTACGTTTATGCAATTATTTATTCATTTTCAATTATTATTGCTTTTAACACCAAGTCAAGATTGGATTTTCCTTTTTCGATAGTTTGCAAAACGCTTTCAGTACCTTTGATTGAATATGTTGTGTGTTCATTTATCAAACATTTGTTTAGTAAAGGTATTTCAACTTTTTTTCCAAAATTACTAAGGAAATAATACATTATAGGAGTGTTCGGGATCCACGCAGCAGGTCTTTTATATTCGTAATCTGCATTAGCAAAAAACCAAATTAAATGAGAAATGCCGTTTTCATACTCAATTTCCTCTTCTACTTCTACTTCATAGGGCGAATTTTGTTCATAATTAACCATTTTATGCTCATCATCCTTAAGTTTTCTTATTGATTTAATAGTCAATGGTGGTGTTTTTATGTTTTCATTTATACCAAGTGGATAAATTAATGATTTGAATCTAATTTTAGGTAGTGTAAATTCTTTTTTACTAGAAGGTAAAATTAAAGAATTGATAAATGTATCAGCATTTAAAACCTTTGAATTAATATCGTTCCATACATTCTCTTCAAGAATATTACAATAAGGTTTAATTTTCTCTGTAACATCTTTACTAGGAACTTGAAAGTATCTAATGTGAGGAAGACAATGTTTAAGAATAGCCTTTAATGACTTAAAATTTTCATCAGTCCATTCATTAAGATCCAATGGTAAATTTGAAGTCTTTGCTTTTCCCCATAAAATAACTTTATCCCAAATTTCTGATTCTTCAATTTGTAAATAATCATTCTTTAAAAGTGAAATTAAAGCAACCTCATTGAGAGTGGTGAATTCATCAGAATCAAAAATTATACTTGGATTTTTAACAATAATATTATCGCAAAATTGTTGTAAAGGTCCAAATCTTTCATTAAAAATGCTAACTTGATAAATGCGAAAAATATTTAAACGAAGCCAAGCTGTATGATCATTAATAAGATGAGTCTGAAGTTGCTCAGCTAATTCTGTAAACTTAAGTTCATTAACGGCGATCAATAAATCAAATATAGTTGAAACTTCAAGACCTTCTAAATAAATTATACCGCCATAGATGTATCTATATAATAAGCATCGAAAAAAGCGATAAAAATGTAGAACTATTAAAATTTTATTATATAATCAAATATTTATGTAATGTTCTATAACTTACCTAATAATAATGTCAAATAATTTGACTGAAACATGAGGTAATTTAATTTTAATCATATTATCTTCTTTAAGCGTATCGACTAAATTTTGACGAAAGTATAATGAGCGTTGGTATATGATTGTTGAATGTGCTTTAAAAAGTTGAATATTTGGCAGTTCTCCAACTTCAATTACTACATTATAATCGTATTCACTTTCTAAAAGCTGTGTAAAATCTTGTGAAAGTTGTTCAAATAATTTCAAGGTCGCCATACTTTACGAACGTATAGATAAACGGAATGCTATTATATTATTTTTATGGTTTGCTAGCGCTAGTGATTTGGATTACTGTAAATGGTGTGATTAGGTCAACAGTAGCGGGTTATACGTATTTGTGTGTACAAAAATTATAAACACCATTGATCATATGCATATGGGCGGATTGAAAAATTTAACTGTGTTACGAAGAATGTTGTAATAAATGCAGCATATTGATATGTAACACGATCAGGAATATTCAAAACAAACGTTCGTTCTGCTCATAGTTCAAAAATCGGCATAAGAAGCCAACTTTTGTGCTCTAACAAAAAGGTTTCGTTGAACAATTTTACTGGATAAACGATTTCCCTTTAGATTCTAACTTTGACCCTAACTCTAACCTTAACAAATAATTATTTAGTTTTCGCCGCCAACCTTGTACACACATTTACGATATGCAATTATGTATAGTTACTTTACTAAAATCGATGATCACATTTTTTGCATAATAGCTAATTTGAGTCTAATCGCTTTTAGAAATAAGATTCTTTTTTTGGAACAATTGTACTATCGCTATCGCACGACATATCCTTTTTTGTACTAAATAAAGAATCTTTTCTTTACATATTTGGGTTTCGTTTTCTTGTATTACAAATAAATACTAGGTTATTAACCACTGTACTTTCGCTCATCTTTTAATAATAATTGTCAAATTTTAATGTTAACGACACTGTGCTAAATTGGACACAAATGGAAAGCTCTCCCAAGTTGTAACAACGGACGAAGTTTAATATACATTACACGGAACCTGCTTCACGGTAATAATTTAATATACAACTAGGCGCTTGAGTTGCTTAAAGGGAATTAATTATCGCAATGTATCGATTGCACTAATGCATTGAGTATCAGATTTAATTCAGTTTGATGCAGGTTTTCTTGTGTACTTCCAAATAGTATTGTTAAGCAAAACCTAAAAGGTTTTCAAAAAAAAAATTTAAAATGACAAAACTGACAAAATTAACAAAACTGATAAAATTAATAAAACTGACAAAAGTAACAAAACTTGTGAAACTGACAAAATTAGGTAAAATTGACAAAATTATTTTTTTTTTAAATATTAAAAGTGAGTTCATGCTTTTAATTTTATTGAAATTTTTATAAAGAAAAATTTGTTTTTAAATTACATATAAAAACAGACATAATTTGAAGAGTAATTAAGGTTTATTTAGATTTGGGTATTAATAATAATATAAGATAGAAGAATGTAATATTTGATTCATTATATAATTCAAAGATCAATTTTAATAATATTAAAGTAAAAAGTAAGAGTAGACTAAAAGAATTATGAGTTAAGTTAGTAAAGATGTAATTTGAAATTATGTAAAAGGGGAAAGATCGTCTGGGAAAATACTCATAGAGAAGATACCTGCTGGGTGCTCTAGAAAAACACCATAGCTAGACTTAGGAGAAGAAGAAATGTACCAGTTCAAGAAACAAGAGCAACAGCCCTGGTCCCAAGGAAATGACACTTTGTAGACACATTAAATAAGGACAGCACAAAGAAAATGAAGAAGGTCCATAACACGTGCCACAAGGGCAAAGGAATGCCAATTGTATTTCAAGCAATAATGCCCGAAGGTACAAACATGCAAGTAGATGCTTTTCAAGCCAACTCTGACACTAACATGACGGACTTGACATCCCAGGACTGGTTAGAGATTATAGAAGGCGAAGCAGCGCAGAAAACCAACAAGTTCTACCTGAAGACAACAATTTCTGCAAGGAAAATTCTACAGCTACAGACATAGAAGGTTCTAGCAATCTGTGTGACGATAGGGCAGGTGAGATGACCTCACATGACTTGCATTTAGACACCAGTCATACAAATGTAGTTGCAGAACCAAGCATTGAAGGAAAACCTAAAAATAAGATACATTCTTAGGAAACAAAATTGTGGTCAGTCTTTTTACAAAATTAACTAGGGGAAGGGCAACCTACTCCACCTTCTCCCTCAGAGCCAATATAAGTACAAAGAACAGAAATGCACTCTTGTTTGATATGCAAAGACTTAATCAAATCTCTACTAATGACATAGTGGTCACATTTTACAGCAAAATAGAAGGGGACTTTATAGGAGTCAAACCACATTTTGTTATAGAAACTTGTATGTACTTAGAATAAGAGAATACACAAAAAAGGGGATAGATATGTTTTAACAAACCTTCTATGACCACATCTCATCTAGGACTAACCAAGACTTACTGTCAATAAGGCTGAGAAGAGTCCCAATCATAGACAAAGATACAATTTCAGAAGAAATTAAATGGGCTTTTGATAGGGTGGGCACTATCATAATAATCAAACTCCTGCTATATAAGGGAACTCCAATACATTCAGACCAATGGGTCATAATTTTTAATATAACAGAAGATGTAAAGTTAGCTGAGCAAATGCCAAGATATGTTAATATAATGGATCAGAAAGTAGTCACAAAATAGAAGAAGGTGCCAAAACTCTGCTTTTTATGTGATGAAGAGAGCCATATGAAACAGGACTGTGACCAACTAAAAGAAGCTAACAAACTAAACTGATACTACAAAGAGTTCAAGAAACACAAGAATAAGCAGTCTGGAAGGTATGTGAAGCCAAAACCTGTTCGAGAAATGGTAGAGGAGAAAACAGGAAACCCATATATCAACAGAAGCCAAAATGGTGAATTACGTGAAGCTACAGAGATAGAATAGGACACCTATATGGTGATAGTAGATGCATCATTGGAGATGGCCCCAACACAATTAAACATGTACAATGAAGAAATAGTCTTGCCAAACAACTTGGAACTCATTTTAGCAACATCAATAGTCGCAAACAACAAGAATATTGCTTCAGCAGGTCCAATTAGGAATGAGGAAGAAAAAGATAAGAGTAATAACAATACATTACATGAGCAGTTATTACTACTCAACAATGGAACTACAAACATAATACAACCAGAGGTAGATGATGGTTTCACTAAAGTTACATATAACAAGAAAAAGAAAAAAAAGAACAAAAAAGATAGGAGAGAAATTCTGGCCTCATATAAAAAACCCAAAACATCCCAATAATGAGAGAACATGTAATTACAGGTGTAACACTAAATGTCAAAGGATTAAATAATAGAAACAAATGTAAAGAAACACTGACTCTTCTTAAATCATACAAGATAGACATTATATTAATTCAAAAAACCAATCTAAAGGATATAGCTATGCAAGCCTTTCTCAAAAGTCAATAGCACTTAGACTTGATATGGTCCTCGAAGGCAGCTATCTTAGCAGAAAACAGGTAAATAACTTTTAATAATCAAAAAACCTTATATAATGTAAGGGTAATAATGGCTAGTTTTCAATTTAAACATCTAACATTTCAGGTTACAAATGTATATGCCCCTCCAAATGTTGCAGACAGGTGGGACTTTCTAGAGGCATGGGCATCTAGCATAAACACCAATGCGATCAACATCATAGCTGGTGACTTCAATACAAATCTGAACCTATCAGACAACAGAATTAGTCAATCACAAAGTCATTATAATCCCACTAGGAATAAATTAGAAGAACTCATAGAGGGGTTTACAGATATGGCTTATATAAGCCAAACAAAACCTTTTGTCACTTACTACCAAACAGTAAGAAATGGACAATCGATGGCTACGAGATTAGATTACATTTTTCTTGATAATGACAATATATAGTTGTGTAACAAATTAGAGACTAAGTTCAGAAACTCTGATTACCTTCTTGTATGGTGTTTATTATATAGTAACTGGGAAACACCAAAGCCTACTTTATGGAAGCTAAATCCGCACATGCTAAATAATCCATTCATATTAAAAGAAATAAAAACTAATCTTAAGAATAAAGAGGCAACACAAATTGGGATTATTACAAGGTTCAGTGTCAATCAATTTTTAGGACTTGTAAGCCACCAACTGCTTCAGAAACACACATACACAAATTACATAAAAAAATAACAGAACTTAACAATAAAATGGCAATGAATTCACAACTGTCTGATCTAAGTATTGTGATAACACAGTTAAACTCAGAGCTATAGGTGGAGTTAAAGCTACAAACAAAAAAATGGCAATTGAGATCAAATATTAAATGGCTAGAAGCAGAGGAAAAGTCAACAAAGTATTTCTTCGAGCAGTACAAGTCAAGAACATTACAGAAAGCAACAAGTCTAGTAAGAAACCCCACAGCTTCAGCCTCAAAGGATAGACTAGAAATACTGCAGTATATAAAGAAACAATTTATGATACTATATTAAGCAAAACCAATAGATCTAGAAGCAGCAGAGGCTCTTACAGAAGATTTGCCTTCAGTGTCACAGCAACAAAATACTGCTCTAATAAAAGAAATTAGCCTACAGAAAATCATAGAGACAATCGATAAACTCTCAAAACACAGGATGCCTGGACCAGATGGCTTAACACATGAATTTTACAAGACATTTCATGACAAAATTTCCTCACTTCTTTAGATTGTCTTTAACAAAGCTCTAAACTTGGGCACAATTCTAGACTTATGGCAGAAATCAGTAATTACACTGCTCCTCAAAAAAAGTTAAGAACTAGATAATATTAATAATTGGAGACCTATCTTACTAGTAAATGCAGACACTAAGATCTTTACAAAGATCATGACAGACAGGCTCAACATCATTTGCAAGGATATTATAGAAGAACATCAAGCAGGTTTTATAAAAAATAGGTCAATTGTTGATGCCGCCTTAGATATTATAAGCATGATGAGAGTTAAAAAAATCTGACGGACATGAACTGGCTTCTTTTCTTGAACCAAAAGAAGGCATTCGATAGAGTGGATCACAATTACCTAATACTAGTACTTGAAAAAATAGGCTTTAGTTCCACCTTTACAAACCTAATCAAAAGTCTTTTTGAAAACCTGTGGGCACATATAACAGATGTGGGGCTACTTTCCACCCCATTCAAGATTAGCAAAGGAGTTAGACAGGGTGATCCCTTTTTCTCTTTGCTCTACATGATAGCTTTCGAACCTTTTCTAAGACAATTAAAATTGAAAATAAAGGGGGCAGCAACAGGAATTACAAAGTTTAAGCTCACAGTCTATGCTGATGATTTAACAGTAGGTTTAGGCTCAATAAAAGATTGGAATACTTTGATGAACCTGTTAACAAAATATAAAGCAGCAGCTAATGTGACAGTAAATAAGAAAAAATCTAAACTGTTATCTTTAACCAAAAAAGCAGTGCAAACAGTATTACCAGAAGAGAGAAGTTTTGACAAACTAGATGAAAATAGGTCAATTAGAATCCTCAGTTTTGAGGTGAATAAGAAGAGACAACCAAGCAAAACTCTTTGGGATAAGATTACTATAAAATTGAAAAAGCTAACAGAAAGTATGAAACAGAGAGAACTTTCATTTAAGGGCAAAATCTTAATAACAAAATTGCTCTTACTATCTAGGATCTGGTTCGCCTTCTATATATTCCCATCAAATAAAAAACAGCTAAACAAAATTAATAAAATAATGATTTCATGAATAAAAAACAAATCAAAACTCCTTCCAAGATATGGTACATATCAACAAACACTAGAAAATAATGGTCTAAATGCCCTTGTCTTACTAGACATGCTTGATGCCAGACTAATAATAATTTGGATAAAACTATGGTCAAGCAGAAACTTTTGGGCTATAAATGAGAGAGTAAAAATAGAAGCTGCACTGCTTAAAAGATGTAAAAAAAAGGTACAAGAAGCTCTTTCAATCCATCCAATTAGGCTAAAAGGGTGGTACTGCGAATAGAAGCCATATCTTATAGTCTGGAAAAGACTAAAGAGAGAAATACCAGATAGCAGCAAAAACTGGTTCTGGAACCTTGAAGACCTTAAGATTATGGAAACCATTGCCACAAACTTGACTACAGCAAAAGCTACAGAATATTTAAAAAAGTTATCTATTGCATGTGCCTTAGCACAGATCAATTTTTTCAGTGAACCAAATAAAAAGGATAGCTAGGCATGGTCACAATTAAAATGAGTTCTGAATAATAAAAAAGATATTTTTTGGAGGCTGCTACATAATGCATTACTCTTGGGTACAAGACTGGCATACATTGATCCAACAGTCTCTTGGGACTGCCCATGGTGCCCAGAAGTACTGCAGATACTGGAACACTTCGCTATAAAATGCCGAGTTAGTCATAAGTTATAGGAACTTGCATATAACATATTTAGTCTCTCGCAAGACATAATCCTCCCAACCATGATAGAAGAAATATTTACAGCAGCTAATGCCAAGTCAACTCAATCACACACAACATTTATTTGATTACACATCACAGTAATATATGAGATATGGATCTGGTTCACAAACAAGCAGTGGGGCAAGGGCACAATGCCAGAACTAGCACTACAGTTTATTTGGAAGTCTAGAATCTGAAAGAAATAAAGCTGGCATTAAACAGCTGCTTGCTCAAGGGAAAAGAAAAAGACTTTTTAAAGACAGTATATAGGATGTGTAGTCTAGAAAATAATCATACATAATAATTTGTATATATTTCTTAGTTTAATAAATAGCATCATTTGACATCCCAGATAAATGCTATCTTGGGGTTTTTTAAAAAAAAAAAAAAAAAAAAATTATGTAAAACATATGAGATCCTATTTGTTATATATTTTTTGGTTTAAATAAAGAAGTTTAATAGAAAGATTTGATAAGAAATAGAAGTATTATGAATAGTAAAAATGAAATCAGTAGAAACTAAATCAGATAAAGTATAAGTAAGAAATAGTATTATGAGCCTAATTTTTTGTGAATTACAAGAGCCTAAATTGAGTAATGATCACTACTTGATTCAAAGTCATGTAAAAAGTAACAAAAAAGTTACTTCTGTTACTTTTCTTATTTCTGTTATTTCTGTTACTTATACTATTTCTTTTACTTATGAGATAAATGAGATATTGACTTTATCAAATATAATTAGAATATAACAGATAATATATTTATGTTAGAATTTAATTACCAATGTAAATAAAATTTTTATTATAAATAAAGGGACCTTCTGCTTAGAGGAAAAGTAACTATAATACTTTTAAGAAAATATAATTGCTTAAATAAACTTAATATATCAGATTTATATTAAAAGTAAACTGTAATTTAACCCAAAACTATTATTAAAAACTATTATAATTAATTATTATTTACTCATTTGTAATCTACTAAAACTGCATTTTGTTTATTTACTACAAATCACATAACCAAGCCATTAACACAAGAAAAGAATTTCAATCTGATTTGATGTATCATAACCCCAAGTTAAAAAAGCAGAAGGAAGAGAAAAGAAGACAAAGGCTAATAAAAGAATAGGTTAAAGAAAAGATTTAGAAGAAAAGAGTAGTACTTACCTACAAATAAACTACTAGTCAAATCTAACATGCCTATTTTAACTTGGCTACTATAGGTTATATAAGAATTGGAAGAAATTAGTGACAGACTCATCATTTGCTGTACAATAGTATGTAAAAAGTTGTATAGTTTTAAAATTAATAAAATTAATAAAAGTAATAAAATTAGAAAAATATACAACTAGTAAAAGATAAAAAAATTAGTAAGAGATAAAAATAAAAAATAATTAAAAAAAATTAAATTTTTTTTGTATAATTATTAATTTCTTTATTTTTTTTATATAATTAAAAGATAAAAAACTTTTTATA